TTTTTTGGTAGTGGTGATCGAACTTGCACTTGTGAGGCAGGCAGCGGAACCACTGAGCTAAATCCCTGGTTCCCATATGTACTACATTTTGTTTATCCATTAATCTGTTGATGGATACTTGAGTTTCTTCCATGGTTTTTGGGGTTTTTTTGGTTTTTTTTTTTTGTACAGGGAATTGAACTCAGGACCTTGTGCTTATGAGGCAGGCGTGATGCCGCTGAGCTAAATCCCCGGCCCTTTCTTCCCTGTGTTTTCTAGTCCAAATAATGCTAATATGAAATTGGGCATAACAGTATCTTTTTGGGGACTTTCCTTTTGATTCTTTTCACTATGTGCCCAAAAATGCCATTTTGGATCATATGATAATTCTGTGATTAATTTTTGAGGAACCACCATATTATTTTTAGCAACAGCACCATTTTCCATTCCCACCCACAGTGTACAAGGTACCAGTTTCTCCATGTCCTCACAACACTTACTGTCTTTTATAATACCATCCAAATGGGAATAATGTAACCTCCTGAATATTTATTTATTTATTTTTGTGGAACTGGGGATTGAACCCAGGGCCTTTGCAGTGAACTACCTTCCCACCCTGATTGATTATTGATTGATTGATTGATAGGGTCTTGTTAAGTGCTGAGTTTCCTAGGCTGGGCTCAAATTCACAGTCCTCCTGCCTCAGCCTCCCAGAGTGCTGGGATTACAGATATGCCCTACCATCCCTGGGTGTGTATGAGTTTTAAAAATGATACAAAATATTTATGTGACTTCAAAGTCAAAAGTATAATAAGATATACTCAGGGAAGCCTCACTTTCATCCTTGACCTTTTCACTCTGTTCCCTTCTTTCTCATAGGTACAGAGCTGTAAAAACAGGTTTTTGTTTTTGTTTTGTTTTGGGTGCTTTTGAGACAGGGTCTCCCTATGTAGTTCAGGCTGGCCTTAAACTCACTATGTAGTCCCAGCTGGCTGTGAACTTGTGACAATCCTCCTGTCTTAGCTTCTCAAGTGTTGGCATTACAGGTGTGTGCCACCATGCCTGGCTCTTTTCATTTTTTCCTCTTTTGTTTTTGGGCATCTGTGTTTGTATGTGTGTGCATTATTTTTCTCTTCTCTTACACAGAGTTAGCGCACTCTACACTGTTCTGCATCTAAAATCCATACTTTAGAAAACCTTCTAAAACTTTATGGAATGTCCCAAACATATGTAAAAGTGGAAAGAACTGAGCATAGTGGCACGTCTGTAGTTCCAGCATGTGGGAGATTGAGACAAGAGGATTACAAGTTCAGGGCCAGCCTAAACCACATGTGGTGGCCCACACCTATAATCCCAGCACTTGGGAGGTTGAGGCAGGAGGATCACTATAAGTTTGAGGCCAGCCTGGGCTACAAGATGAGTTTAAAGCCAGCCTGACTGTGTAGGGAGATCCTGTCTCAAAAAAATCAAAACCACAACAAAAACAAAACCCACAACAACAACAACAATAACAAAGCACTAGCCTAGATTGCATAGCAACATTTGTCTTTAAAACAAATAAAATGGAAAGAATGGTTTAGTGAACCCTTCATTAATAATTGTCAACTTGTAGCCCCATTTGCTTCATATATTTTCTTACTCCTCTTCTCCAATGGATGGATTATTTTTAAACAGATTCCAGAATCATTGTATCTGTAAATATTTTAGTATGTAGTTCTTTGTTAGTCAGCTTTCTGTTACTTGAAACAAATACCTGAGGCAATCACCTTATAGAGAAAGTAAGTTCTTTTTGGCTCACAGTTTTAGAGGGTTCAGTGTATGGGCGGTTGGCCAGGATGTCTTGGGCCTGTGCCTTATGTCATTTGGGAGCAGGACTTTTATGTCATTTGGGAGGAGGATGTGAACAAGAAGAAGAGGCTGGGATCCACCACACCCTGGCCCAAAGACCTTCTGTGTTTCACCCCTCCCCATAGTGCCACAGGTTGGGGACCAAGCCCTTAATACACAGGCCTTTGGGGGATACTCCAGGTCCTTCAGATTACAGCATGCTCTAGTTATAGCTTTATAGTGAGTTCTGAAAGATAAAGTTCTTTTTTTTCTTCAAAAACATAAAGATGACATCACATCTAAAAATAAAACTTTATCAAGTCTTAATTTAAGTGTAAAATATCCTAATATCATGAAATTAGTATTCACATGTCTCTGTCTTATTTCTTTTTAAACTCACTTGTTTGACTCAAGATTCAGTCAAGGGGTCTGGATTTCAACTGGTTGAAAATATCTCTTAAAAATTTTTTTTGTTTTTGTTTTTGGTACTGGGGCTAGAACCTAGGGCCTTGTGAATACTACTAGGCAAGTGCTCTACACTGAACTACATCCCAGTTTAAATCTCTTTTAATCTGTAAATTTTCGTTACCCCATGCCTGTCTTTTTCCCTCACAATTTGTCAAAACACCTAGGTGGTTTGTCCAGGAGACTGTCATGCTGCATGGTTTGGTTAGGGCAGAGATCTTTTCCTGTCTTCCTTGACAGTTTGACCCATGAGGACCTCTGACCTCTCGGGCAGGAATACAAGCGCCTCCTTTTCACTAAGCAGGCAGGGGTGCTGCTTGGGGTACTGCTGTACCCTTTGGCCCGCCTGGTCCCATGACAGGAGAGATGCAGCCACAGCCCTAGAGGCTCTATGCTCTATGACTCATGAGGTGGTACGCACTGATTGTTGACCTGGAATGAGGTCTGGATGTCACCAGTGTCCTGGGCAAGTTGGAAATGAGAGTGGTTAGGGGAAGAGGCTCTCTGACCCATGTCCCAGGAGAGCCAGGCTGCTGGGATGAGAAAGCTGCAAGGCTGTTGGTACCTCATGACCTGCTTTCTTGGTGTTCTTTCCTAGACGTGCCAGGTGTGCCAGATGCTTCTGCCCAACCAGTGCAGCTTCTGTGCACACCAGCGGATTCACGCGCACAAGTCCCCCTACTGCTGCCCAGAGTGTGGAGTCCTCTGTCGCTCCGCCTACTTCCAGACCCATGTCAAGGAGAATTGCCTGCACTATGCCCGCAAGGTGGGCTACAGGTGGGTTCTGCCTGGCTCCCTGTCCTGGTATTGTCCAATGGCTAATCCTTTCCGTAGTCCAGAACTTGTTTGAGACTAATGTTTGGTCTTAGAGGCCTAATAGTACAAGAATGTTGGTTGGTACATGGACAGACGTTATTGTATTGCAGAGGATAGGAAGAACAAAAGGACAGAAAATGGGTTTAAAAGAAATTAAATACTAAAAAAACCTTTGAAGGTGGGCATAGTGGTGCACACCTATAATCCCAGCTATTCGGAAGGCTGAGGCAGGAGAATTGCAAGTTCAACCCCAGCCTAGGCACCCTGTCTCAAAATAAAAAATAAGAGCCAGGGATTTAGCTCAGTGGTTTCGCTGCCTGCTGCGCAAGTGCAGTGACCCGAGTTCGATCCCCAGTACCAAAAAAAAAAACAACTTTCCACCTCAAAATAAAAAATAAAAAGGGCTGGAGGTATAGCTTGGTGGCAGAGCACTCCTAGGTTTGATCCTTAGTGCAACATACATACACACATGGAAAAGGAGAAAGATTTGAAGGGAAAGGTTTTGGGGTGATTGTTAATTTGTCTTTTTAAGACAGGGGGCCTCACTGTGCTGCCCAGCGTGGCCTGGAATTCCTGGGTGTGAGTGAGCCTACAGCCTCAGCCATCCAGGAGCTGGGATTACAAGTGTGTGCCACTGTGCTTAGCTTTGGATTTGGGTTTAAAAAGTATATAAATTTAATTTGCTCACAAAGTTACTGTGTTTGCCATACTAAATTTATTTTTTAAATCATATTTTTTAATAAATTTAATTTTATCCCAACTCCCTCTTCCCCTTATGCCCCTTTCCTCCCTGTGTACAAAAGCTTTGTTTCCATTTTTTTCTTCTGTTTTCACTTCTTTTCCTTGCCCCTTCCTTTCTTGGTCCCTCTCTCCTCCCTTGTTTCCTTTCCCATTTAAATATTTCTTCCCATTTCCCAATATCTATTATACATTTTAGTCCTTATTTCCACTTTTGGGTTCTCACACCAGAAAAATAATGCAATATTTAAACATTTGTATCAGCTTTATTTCACTTAAGAGTATGGTCTCAAGGTTCATCCATTTAGCTATAAATGTCTGAAGCTCATTCTTTTTTATGGCAGAGTAATACTCCATTGTAGGGAAAAAACCCTCCCACATCTTCTTTATCCACTCGTTGATTGACAGGCATTTGGGCTGTTTCCAAGATTTAGCTATTCCAAACTGTGTCCCACTGTAAACATGGGTGGTCATGTTTCGCTGTAGTATGATGCTTTTAATTCTTTCGGGAAGATACCAAGAAGGGGAATACCTGGGTCAAATGGAACCTCTAGTTTTAGTTTTGAGGAATCTCCACACTGATTTCCACAGTGGTTGCACCATTCTATACTCCCACCAACAGTGTAAGGGTTCCTTTCTCCACAGCCCCTCTAACATTTGTGATTGGTTGATTTCTTGATAGCAGCCATTCTTTCTGGAGATAGAATTTCAACGTTGTTTTAATTTGCATTTCATGAATGACCAATGATGCTAAACATTTTTTCATATATTTATTTGCTATTTCTAATTCTTCATCTGAGAAATGTCTTTTGATTTCAGATCCCTATTTTCAAATTCGGGGGATCTGATTTTTTTTAAGTTCTTTATATATTTGAGGTAATAGTCCTTTATGTGATGAACAGCTGGTAAAAAATTTTTCCTAATGTGTGGGTTGTCTCTTTACTCTGTTGGTGGTTTCTCTTGTTGTGCAAAAGCTGTTTGTTTGTTTTGGTACTGGGGATCGAACTTGGGACCTTGAGCTTGCAAGGCAGGTGGTGGAACCACTGATCTAACTCCCCAGCCCTGCAAAAGCTTTTTAATAAGATAAGGTCCCAGTTGTTGATTCTTTGTCATATTTCCCATTTGGTCTAGGTTTTGTTCATGAAGTCTTTGCCTACCCCTATGCCCTCAAGTGTTCTACCTATTCTTTCTTCCAGCAGATTTAGTGTTTCTATTTTTTGAGGCAGGGTCTCCCTTTATAGTTCAGGCCGGCCTCAAACTTGTGGTGATCCTCCTGCCTCAGTTTCCTGAGGGCTGGGATTACAGGCACGTGCCACCAATCCCGCCTTAGTGTTTCTGTTTTAATATTTAGATCTTTGATCCATTTTGATTTTAGGTGGTGTGTGGTGAAAAATATGGGTCTAGTTTCATTCTTCAGCATGTGGAAAGCCAGTTTTCCAGCATTATTTATTAAAGAGACTATCTTTCTTCCAGTGAAGGTATTTGGCTCCTTTGTCAAAGATTAGGTGGCTGAGTATGTCTGGAGTTGTTTCTGCATCTTCTAGTCTGTTCCATTGATCCTCAGGTCTGTTCTCTTGCCAGTACCATGCTGGGTTTTTTTTGTTTTGTTTTGTTTTTTTATCACAGTAGCTTTGTAGTGTAACTTAAAGTCAGGGATTGTGATAACCCTTGCCTTGCCTTTGCTGCCTAGAATTGCCTTTGCTATTTTTTTTTGTTTGTTTGTTTTTGGTTCCGGAGATTGAACTTGGGACCTTGCGCTTTTGAGGCAGGCAGTGGAACCACTGTGCCTTTGCTATTGTAGGTCTCTTCTGGTTCCAAATGAATTTTAGAATTTTTTCTAATTCTGTGAGATATGCTGTTGGAATTTTTATTGGGATTGCATTAAATGCCATACTAAATTTAAAGTACTCTTTTGAGAATAAATTTACTAATTGCAATATTTTGACATTTCTAATTTTCATTAACAGAAATTATCCAGCCTTTCTGTAAGACTTGAAACTCTAAGGGCTCTAGTTTCTTCATTTTGTTAGTAGAAAAATGATCAGCCTTAGAATGAAAACAAGAAAACTCTTATTTTAAAGTAAATCTCCTCTGTGTTGAACTTTTTTTCTGTACTGGGATTGAACCCAGGGCTTTCCGGGTGAGCTACATCTCCAGGCTTCCCCCTCCCCAGCTTAAATTTTGAGATAGGATCTTGCTAAGCCACTAAGTTGCCTAGGCTGTTTGAAGTTGGAGTTCTCCTACCTCAGCCTCCCACAGGGTTGGGATTATAGGCATGTTTTACCACACTTGTTTGTTTTTTTAATTTTTTGTTTTGTTTTTTATGCCACCACATTTGTGTCAAATATTTATAAGCAAGAAGTCATTTTCAGGAAAAAGATCAAATTGATCATAGCCTACTCTAAAAGACATGGCTCTGCAACTTTTACTTTGACTTGATCACGTCTCCTAATTGAGAACTTTTATTATTTTGACTTCTAAAAATTAATTTTGACTAAATCTAATCACATTTTCTGCTCTTTGGAATTTCAGAAAGTTTGATTTAGTTCATTTGCCTTTTATATGTGTACTCACTGTCTTTAGCATTGCTAGATACTCAGAATACAAAGATGATTTTTAATATAGACACAGAGTTCTACAATCACCATAAATAATTTTAGAGCATTTTCACCATCCAAAAAGAAACCCCATACCCACCAATCCTCCTATCCTAGGCAACCACGAATTCACTTTCTGTCTCATAGATTTACCTCTTCTGTACATTTCATATAATATGTGGTCCTAGCATAATATTTTTCAGAATCACACATGTTGTAACATCTATCAGTCTTTCCTTTCTATGGCTGAATGGTGTTCCATTATATGGATAGACCATATGTTGTTTGTACCTCAGTTGATGGATATTTGAGCTGTTTCCACCTCCTGTTATGCCTATTATGAATAATGCTGCTAATGAACATATATGCATGAGTTTTTGTGTGGACCTGGGTTTTCCTTTTGAGGATATACCTAGGAGTAGAATCGTTGGTTCAAATCATAACTTATATTTAACTTCTTGACAACCCGTCAGCCTGTTTTTCTCCATGTTGCTATTCCTACAAGCCTACAAGCAGTACAAAGGGTTTAAGCTCTATCTGTCTCCTTGCCAACATTTGCTCTTGTCTGACTTTGTGTTTATAACTGTATGGAGTATGTATTATAACATACTCCTTTTGGGTATGAAGTGGTATCTTACTTATTTGTATTTTTCCTAATGTTAATGGTATTGAGCATGAGTGTCTCTTCATGTGCTTATTGGCCATTTGTGTCTCTGAGAAATGTCTACTCAGATTCTTTACCCATTTTAAAAATTGAATTGTTATCTTGTTATTGAGTTATAAGTGTTCTGTGTATATTCTGGACATAAGTGCCTTGTTATTTATATATACTCCTTCCCATTTTTTGGCGTTAATGTTGTTTAGTAAATTCTAAAAAGATAGATGTGTTTCACTTCACTGAATTCTACAACAGAGTTTTACAATATTATTTTGTTTTATATTATTTTTGTTTTTGTTTAGGACAGTGTAAAAGCCAGACATATTATATATGTATATCGTTGTGCAGTGGATATGCTTTATGTGAAATGTAGCCATGTACATTATATATATTTTAGAATTTTATCATGTGTTCTGCTTTTTATTGGTAATTTGGGAAGTAGCAGTGATGTCGTAAGGAAGAAAGTTTAGAGGGTGTTCCTTTCTTTTATTTTTATTTTTTAGAAATTTTATTAGTGGATTTGCAGGACGTAATGATGATATTCCTTGTGGGGAGTTGGAACACATGCATAATGTGACTTAATTCATTTCATTTCCCCTTCTCATGCCTCCCCTTCCCTCATCTCTCGGTCCCTTTTCCATTTGCAAAAGATCTATCTCCTTGTTTCCTGTTATTATTTTGCTATTAAAATTATTTATATTTTGGGCCTCTTGGATAAGAGAAACCATAGGACTTTTAAGCTGCATGTCTGATTTATTTCCCTTAACATTATTGTCTCAAGGTGCATTCATCTTCCTACAAGGACTTTTAATAATGACTTTTCTTATTTGTGATTATTAGCAGAGTTAAATGTCTTAGGCTGTATTCTCTTTTCTGAGACTTTGCATATTTCACAACATACAATTATTCTTTAATTGTTTACTTTCTTTTTTTAAAAAAAGTGGTCAAAGGTTGTATCATGAGGTTGGATTCTTCTTTAATGTGTAAACCCCGCTGGGGTCAGTGCTTCCCTGAAGCATGGGTCCTTTTACCCCTTATGTTCTTACTGTGGATGCAGTTTCTCAAAGAACATTTACTACATCAAATGGGTTTGCAGCAGCATTTGAGAGAAGTATGTTTATATTGTTTCTGCAGGAGTTTAGTCAAACTGCCCAAATAAAACCATAAAAGTACATATACCCAGTAGAGAAGTGTGTGTGTATGTGTGTGTGTGTATGTGTATATATATATATATATATAAAATGTAGTGGGCTACTTTGGATGAATTTGGAAATGTGTGGGGTTTTTTTCCTCCTCCTAATTGGTAGCAGTGGTGGCAAAACTGGCATGTGTGCCACAGCAGGCTGTTTATATCGTTAAAAGCTCTGAAAGGTTTGCCATTATGGCCTTATATGTATTATGAAGCACTTATGTGTACTACTAGCACTTTATGTGTGTGTGTGTGTGTGTGTGTGTGTGTGTGTTCTGAGAACTGAACCCAGGTCCTGAAGTTTCACTGTTTTGTCTAATGGGAAAGAAAAGAAAATAATAGCTTGTATAGAAATCTTGTAATTTAAAGCACGTGGACAGTAATGAAAGTTCTTAAGAGTTCACTGCCAACAGCAGCCTGGTTCTGTGAACTATCCCTCATTGCTAATTGTTTGCAGAGGTGATCCTCTTGTCCCCTCCCACCCAACTCCCTCTCATACAAGGAAGAAAAAGGATTACAAGATTCTGGGATGATTTACATGGATTGTGAAATTAACTAGTAAACTTATAATAAAGTTAATATTCAGGAATCAAAGACTTAAGTGAAATCTTGTCCTTTCTTTTTTTCTTTTTGAGACAGGGTCTCACTATGTAGTTCAAGCTGGCCTTGAACTCACTATGTACCCTAGGTTGGCCTGGAACTCATGGTGATCTCCCTGCCTCAGCCTCTCAAGTGGTGGGATGAGTAATGTGCACTGCCAAGCTCAGCTTGTCCTTTCTTTCAGTAAAGTAGCAGCCTCTCTTCTAATGCCTACCAGACCTTCAAGGTCATAGAGGCAGGAACTGTTGGAACAAAAGGAACATAACGAGCAGGGACAAAGAAGATATTTCCTCTAGGAGGGGAGACTTGCGTGTATTTGCAGCAGGGGAAAACACTGAACTCGTAAGATGCACCAGGAACCTTAAGGATGCCGGTGGCAGGGGGAGGGTCATCGCACTAAGAGAAGAAAGTTTGTAGAGATGTTTTGAGGTTGAAAAGAGTTTCACATGACCTCCATTTCAGTAAAGTGATTTAAGATATTTCTTTATCTAGGACTGGGTTATTTATTTATATATTACAAAAGTATATATCTACCAAACAAAACTCAGAAGGTATAGATTTGTAGGAAGAAAAAGAAATAAAAAGTTGAGCCTGGCGTAGTGGTGCATACCTGTCATCCCAGCTACTTAGGAGGCTGAGGTAGGAGAATTGCAAACTCCAGGCCAGCTTGAGTATCCTTAGCAGGACCACATCTCATAGCAAAACAAATAAAAAGCCACCCACAGTCTTGCTGAGGAGGTGTCACAACACTTTAGAGCCACACCCTCAAGAACAGCACCAGCCATGTGTGGCTTTTAAGTACTTGAAATGTGGCCAGTGTCCATCTTCACAGCGGGTCCCCTGGACAGTGCTGGTCTCAAGTGCTTCCTCCCAGGCTCCATCTGGTGGTTATGCCAGGAGCACTGCATTTCCTGACTAGGTGTCCTTCCCTGCTTGCTCAGCACCAGCCCTGGGAAGGCAGAGGCCTTCACGGTTCCTCTGTACTTCTGCAGTGGGGCCGCACACTGAACTGAGACTGTTGTTAGTGAGCTCCCTCTCCCCTCCTACCGCCTCCTCAGATGGACTCAGATTTTAGGTTGGCAGAAGGATGTCCCCTGGACAGTGGGAGGATTCTCTACTGGCATGGCACTGGGCTCCAGGGACCTCAGGTGCCCATGTGGGGCCAGGCTGCACAGCATGCTCAGGATGTGCATGTGGAGGAGGGAAGCCTCTGCTCATGACCATGAACAGGCCCCAACGTGACCCTGTCCTGCCTCTGTTCCTCTCCTCCAGCAGCAGCACCTCTGGGTCTAACACTCCCATCTCTCTCATCCAGGTGCATCCACTGTGGTGTTGTCCACCTGACCTTGGCCTTGCTAAAAAGCCACATCCAGGAGCGACACTGCCAAGTTTTCCACAAATGTGCATTCTGCCCCATGGCCTTCAAGACTGCCAGCAGCACTGCGGACCACAGCACTACCCAGCACCCCACCCAGCCCCACAAACCCTCCCAGTGAGTGCAGAGAAGAGTGGCCCCGGGTGCTGTCGGGATGGACCGGGTCGCTGAGGCTAGTGGCCAGGCCGCTGGAGTCTACTAATGATGTCCCAAGGCAGGGGTTCAGGCAGGGTTTTCCGCCTGGCCCTGGTGTGGAGAGCAGAGCAGGGGTGGCGGGGCTGTGTGATTCTGCCAGCAGAGCCGTGGTCACCTCATGCCCTGGGACTTGTCTCATCAGGCTCATTTATAAGTGTTCCTGTGAGATGGTCTTCAACAAGAAGAGGCATATTCAGCAGCATTTTTACCAGAATGTCAGCAAGACACAGGCGGGTGTCTTCAAGTGCCCAGAGTGCCCGCTCTTGTTCCTGCGGAAGCCAGAGCTGATGCAGCACGTCAAGGTGGGGCGCCCGGGGCAGGAGTCCGGGGGTCTGACACTGGGCCTCTTTCCCCTTGCCCAGTCAGTAACCGCTCTCCCCATCCCCAGAACACCCACGGCGTTCCCCGGAATGTGGACGAGCTGTCCAGCCTGCAGTCTGCAGCGGACACGTCCTCAAGCCGCCCTGGCTCTCGAGTGCCCATGGAGCCCCAGGCTTCTAGTGTGGCTGCCCGAGGCAGCTCCCTATCCTCAGGCCGCTGGGGCAGGCCAGAAGCCCATCGTAGGGCTGAAACCAGGACCCGGCTGAGGAGCACGGGCTGGACCTGCCAGGAGTGCCAGGAGTGGGTTCCTGACCGAGAGAGCTATGTGTCCCACATGAAAAAGAGCCATGGGCGGGTAAGTGAGGCCTTGTGAGTTTGGTCTTCTGTTCTGAGTGTAGGACTGCTGATGTGGCCAGCTCCTACGGCTCTGGTGCCTTAGGTAGGGTGGGTTCCACAGGTCTTGAGGACTTTGGGGCATCCTCCCTCCTACCTGCATCATCTGAAAAGATTCCCCCCAAATGACCTTCTGTTTCTGACCTTCGTGACATGTCATCTCCCCCAGATGCTGAAGAGGTACCCATGTCGGCAGTGTGAACAGTCCTTCCACACCCCGAACAGCCTGCGAAAACACATCCGCAACAACCACGACACCGTGAAGAAGGTCTACACATGTGGGTGAGTATTCAGGAGTGGCCTGAGAGCCCAGTGGTGTTGACACGCTTTCTGTCTCTCTCCCAGCCCCGACTGCACAGCCAGACCCAGCAAAGGTCCCTGAGGTGTAAGAGGAGTGTGGCAGTGTGACTGCATACCTCTCTGGTGACCATGCCTGTGTTGTGGGACATATTTGTCCCTTTCACACTGGGGCCTCTGGGCAGCGAGAGCGGGAAATGAGGCAACGTCAAGGGCCACATGTCAAATGTGCAGGGATCCGACCTGCACTGGGCTGGCTGAGACAGGGCTGTCTGCCCACCCCAACTCCCTCCTGGCAATGATGCAAAGCACGCTGCGGGAGCCTGCAGCTGGGTCTCACCTGCTTCGGCTGTGTCCTGCAGGTACTGTACTGAGGACCCTCCCAGCTTCCCTCGGCCTTCCCTCCTGGAGAGCCACATCAGCCTTATGCACGGGATCAGGAGTCCTGATCTGAGCCAGACGTCCAAAGTCATAACTCCGGACGGACATTCCCCTCAGGTGAGCTGCCTGCTGGGCTGCAGCTAGAGAGGAGTGAGAGGGCGGGGCCGTGGAGCAGCCAGAGTGACTGCTTTTCAAAGCATTGTCACTCTAGTCTACTGTGAGACCCAGGAGCCAGCTCCTCAGCTTTCTGGTGCCAGTGTCTCCATCACTGACACCCTGCTTGGGTGTGCACCATTCTCCGTGGACCCTTGGGTGCTTTTATGTACATTGTCCTGTCTCAGCCTCACAGCAGGGCAGCCTCGTCAGCTTGTCAGGTGGTGCTGGGTGAGTCCCAGGAACCTGCTCTCCAGGCCCGTTGCCTGTGACCTCATCCCTGCCATGTGCACTGTCCCTGTTTCTCAGGAACACCAGGAGCAGCCTGCTCTACCTGCCACAGAAGGCTCATGCCAGCCAGTAGAGGGCTGCCTGCCAGCTGGGAGTCCCCAAGACTCTTGGTTACTCATAGCTGCTGGCTGTCGGTCTCACACACAATAGGCCGGGCAGCAGTTGTTTTTTGGCAAGATCAGTCTCAGAAAAATGCAGCTCGACCCCATCCCACAATGAACACACCTTGCCCTGCATCCTCCTTCTGGGGCTTGTCCCTTGGAGAGCTTTGGCCTTGGGCATAAAGAAATGTGTTCAAGGGGTTCTCTGTAGTGCCACGGCAGTAGCAAAGCTGGAACTCAGTCTAACGCTGGCAGTGGGGACGTCATAGCCACAGTGGGCCTGTGCTGCTGTCAGGAGAGCACAGCCTCTCTGCCAGTGCTGTCAAGTAAGACCAAAGGTGATGAAAAGTGTGTATGGCATATGGCCATTTGGTAGAGGACAGTAGTTTTCTGTGTGCACACGTACAGGCTGTCTTGGAGGGGCCAGAGGGGCCGCAAGACCCAGGTGCTCTTTGGAGAGCTGTAGAGCAGTAGGAATGACTTAGTTTGCTCTGTATCCTCCCCATATATTTGGAATTCATGTCACAAGTATCTGTTACATTAAAAAACAAAGAACTGGAGGCCAGTCATTGTTAGCTCATACTTGTAAGTATAGCTGGAGGATGACAAGTTCCATCTAGTCTGGGCTACAGAGTGAGACCCTGTCTCAAAACAAAAATCAAACCAAACCAAAACCATAGAACTGGAACCGAACAAACCAAAGCTGTGTTTAGGGCTGGGCGAGCTGGCCTGGCTGGTACCTTTGGGCTTTTGGTGGCTGTCATCATGTCTGGGGGCTCTGCTTATGCCATCTCTCCTTTCAGGTGAACCATCTGAAAAGACCCCTCAGCGGAGCAGGGGATTCTCCGGGCACCAGCAACGGCGCTACTGTCCCTCCCCTAAAAAGGCACAAATCCCTCTTTCAGTGCGCAAAATGTAGCTTTGCCACGGGCTCGGGGCTGGAGTTCCAGAGCCACATACCTCAGCACCAGGTGGACAGCTCCACAGCCCAGTGTCTCCTCTGCGGCTTGTGCTACACCTCCACCAGCTCCCTCAGCCGCCACCTCTTCATTGTCCACAAAGTGCGAGACCAGGAGGAGGAGGAGGAAGAGGAGGAAGAGATAGTGGAGGTGAAGGTGGAGGTGTCTGAGCCAGAGGAGGGCTCTGGGGAGGAAGTGGCCATGGAAACGAGAGAGAATGGACTGGAGGAATGTGCTGGTGGGCCTTTGTCAGCTGACCCAGAGGCGAGGGGACCGCTGGGCCTTGGCCTGGCAGAGGACCAGGCCCAGGATGCACAGAGACAGCCACAGACCTCTCAGGACCAGGACAGCCTTACATTGTCCCCTCAGGTGTGACCAGAGGCTTGGCAGTGTGTGTGGCCAGGGTGGGGCCCCAGTGTCTCCCACTGCCTCTCAGACCATGGAAGTCAAAGGCTGTGCCCTTGGGAGTGTGGCCACTGTGCCCTGAGCTGTGGTGCACTGTGTCCCCAGCTGCAGGAAAGATGGGGTACCCAGGACCCTCCCAGCTCTGAATTCGCTTCTGTTATTTATGGCTTTGTGCTGCTTCTTGGTACCCAACTCTTGTCTGTGTCCTTCCAATTCCAGGCTGCTTATGTGGTCCCACCCCAATGCTGTCAGCTCAGCTTGAACCCAAGTCCTTGACCTGTGCTTATCTGGGAGGCCCTGATGGCTGCCTTCAGCCGGGGGTGCCGCTCAGAGGCTGAGAAGGAGGGGAGGAGGCCACATGCGACATAGTCCCTCTGGGAGAGAGCTCTACTCAGCCTGGCTTGGCAAGGGCCCTCGATCACCTTGCCTTTCCTTCCTGTCTTTTCTGGTGCTTTTCCCCAAAAATGGTCCTGAGAACTAATTGTCACTCTGGCTCCTCATGTCTGTGTGGGTGGGAGAAGCTTGAACACACCTTTGTTTGGAACTGGGGATGGCAGGAGGTGTGGCCGAGGCAGGCAGGTGCAGAGAGCCAAGCCCCTTGAGAAGGCGCTGGGGGCGGGTGGGCCCTTGCTCTGGTGCTGTGCTGCCTTCCCTGACCATGGGGCTCAGGGCACACAGACATGGGAATGTGTGTGTTCTCGCTCCTATGCCATTAGAGAGGCTGCTGCCATGGCAGGCCAGCCCCTCTTGCTCTTGGCTGCACTCATGTTCCTCAGACTATATTTCAATAAAAACTCTTCTTACCATGCAGGTAGGCTCTTGTATTCCTGTCTGAGTCAGTTGGCCCTTCCCTGCTCCCACCGAGGCCCCTTCCAGGGGAGAAGACCAGGAGCTTGTGCTCAGCTCCCTGGAGACCCTCTGTAGAAGCAGGATCTCAGCACCAGTCCAGAGTCAGCTCAGAGGTCTCCCTGAGGCTGATGGCATTGACTGTAAGGCCTGTTGAAGTCTTCTTGGGTGTCTCCCTCTTTCCTAAAGAGGAGCTTTACACTGAAGGAAACCCTCTATGGGTGATGGGGTGGAGAGCAGGAATTCTGTCCTTTTCCTGCAGCATTAGAGACCTTGTTGTTGCCTCTGCCACAGGGAATTCAGGGTGGCAGAGCTGGGAGTAAACTTGGGGGACGGTGGGGCTATCTTCACTGGTGGTGGAGTTGGGGCTGCCCCGGGCCTGGGGTTGGCCCTGCAGGTCTAGTGCAGTCCTGGTGCATGGTGCCCACTGGGTTCTTAGGGGTAATCATTCATGGGAGGCGTGAGTTGCAGTTATAAATTAAGTCAGATAAAATATGCCTGACCTTTCCACAATTGAAACAAAAACCAGTTTTTTCTCCCTGTATCAAATGCCAGATTGTTAGTGAAATGCTAATGGCAGTAGGAAAGGTTGGTGCTGCCTTAGTTTCAGAGACTCTGGCACCCATAGCATTTTTAATTGCTCTTCCTGGCAAGGCCACCCCTCTTGCTCCCCCAGCTGCCTGAAGAGCCAGAGCCAGCTCCAGACCCCAGCTCCATTCATTAGATCAGGTCCCGGAGGAGGTGCAGAGAGGGGTGTGGGGTGGATGCCTGAAGTCTGTCCTGCTCAGAAACAGGTAGTTGAGCACAGGCAGAGGAGATGGGGTGGCCACAGGCTCAGCCACCTGTCCTCAGTCCAGACTTATGTCCCTGTGCTGTGGAGGAATGCCAAGCTGCTTGCTGGGCACCTGGGGGCAGGGCCTGGTGCCTGCTCATAGCCAGCTCTTAGCAAACCCCCAGCCTCACCGGTCTCTCCTCTTCCAAGTGGAACTGGTATCTCTATCCAGCTCCCTCACAGGCTCTTATGAGGTCATGCACATGCCAGCTGTTTCTGATTTATAAAACATACAAAGGTGGAGAGGCTGTACTTGACCTTTGGGTTTGGAGGTGGCACCCACCTGTGTCTCTTCACCCTGGGATGCTGCTTATCAGCTAAGCATTGGTGGGGAGAGCATTACTTCTCTGTGATTTAGTAATTGTGATGTTGTATTTTAAGCTCTGCTCACATGCCCAGCATCTTTCTAGACATTTTCTAGTGACACTAATCCTCACAAAGATCCCAATTATCCCCCATTTTACCAAGAAAACTGAGGCTGAGATGTTAAAGGACAGATGTGTCAGGCCACCTGTGACGATGGTGCTGTGTCAAGCCCATCAAGCCCTCTGCTGTCTTAGTGACCATGGCTGCTTTGGCTGCCACCCAGCCCATCAATTGCCCAGAGGCCTGCTTTTCTACTTCCCTAACATTTGGGATGCTTCCAAGTGAAGACCATTTATGCCCCCTTACTCCTAGAGGGGACCTGCATGTCACCCCTGCTGAACCAGTAGCATCCTGGGACTGGTCATTCCCATTGGGGTTTCCTCTGTCATTTGAAGACTGTTGTTTTTTGAGGACTGTCCAGGAAAGGTTGCCCAGTCCAGCATCTTCTGATCTCATCTCTTTCACGGTGTTTTGAATGGGCATGATGTCATTTGTTATCAGCACAGAATGCTGGCTATAATGGGTGCTTAACTGCCTGCAAGGAGAGCTCCGAAGATTGAGTTAAACAGATAAGACCCTCACTACCATTTAATACGCTCTGAGCCTTGACAAATGCCTACTATTTGTTCTCTAACTGCTTTATCTCTGTAAAATGATATGTTGAATTACTATGAGCTAACTGTTGTAGAAAGAATTTTCCCCTTAACGTATGTAAACTGTCTGGTTTAAAACAAAAACAAAAAAAACTTAACAGTTGTGGCCCACACTTTGCCTTCCCCAAGACTAAGGAACCTCCGTCCCATTCACTACTGTATATTTAGATCTGGCAGTTTCCTTTATTTTTTGTTTTGAAAAATTAATACATACACATGGTAAAACATCCAACAGTACAGAGCATACAATAAAAAGTAACCTTCCAACAGGGGCCAAGCTCCAAAGCCCTTGTCCAGTTAACTGCTGCTGTCTATATCCTGTGTATTCTTTCAAAGCGATTCTATGCATTTACAAGTTTTAAAATATGTATATTTATATATCTATTTTTAATACAAACAGTAGCATTCTATATACAGTGTTCTGAAGCTTGCTTTTTTCTACTTTTGTAGTATTTGGAGATTGCTCCAAACAATCCGGCTCAATATGATGGTTGAAAAGCTTGCAGCACAGTGCTTTGTGTACAATAATAACTCACAGAAGTGTATGGATGAGTGAATGAGTGTGTGTGGATGAATAACTCTAACTCAGAGGCAACTACAAGTTCTAGGGGTTGACCTGGTCAGGACAGGGCCTTCACAGGTTTCACTTCTGTGGGGTCCGGGCTGCTACTGCCCTCCTCTCCCAGCAGGTGCCACAGTGGCCATAGGGAGTAGGTACCTAGGGGAAAGAGGGGGCTTAGAACCCAGATCCCATGGGGGATTTTCAGGTCCCCACTTAAAATGTCTTCTTTAAAAATGGGAAATGATGTACCATTATTAGAGAAAGCACATACTTAGTCTTGTCCTTCCCATTGCAGTTTTCATTTTTGCCTCTCACTTTCCAGTGAACAGGTTCAGCATGCACAGAATGGAGTTTGTGATGTAATTATGACAAAAGTGGTTAACTGAGCATTTTTGTGTGTCTTTATGTCTGCTTTTAATACAAACAGCAGCAGACATTCTGTCTCTTATTCAGCCTCAAAACAATCAATCCTACATGATAAATACTGTTGTTATTCTTTATGAGACAATAAAATTGGGACCCAGAGTGGTCAAGTGAATTCCTTAAGGCCACACAACTAGGAGGGAGTACAGCTGGCTTCACATTGGGTTGTGACTCCTGCCTCAGCCTCAAGTACTAGGATTATATGTGTCACCACATCCAGCACTTTGTGTATCTTGAGCATGGCCAGATTCTATTTTCTCATTCCTATACGTGTTCAAAATAGAAAAAACTTTCCCAAAGGCAAGAGTTGTACTATGTTTTCTAGCTATTTACTTTTGCCCTAATTATATACAAAACCAGAGAAGATTCTCCTCCCTTGAGCAGTGTCACTTTTATTTGCATTTAATTTCAATTTGCATCAGATTTATGTTTTTTCAGCTCTTTTATGACCATTTGTTCTGGTTCTTGTCAAGCCTTTCCAAGTCTGAACTACTGATTCTTAAGCATCTTCCAATCCTGCTGTCTCCCAGGCACGTTACAGAACTACCTACGTCGTGATGTATTCTTGTGCTAGTTCATTTGTGTTATGTCTTGGCCTTTAAAAAGGCTTTTTTTTTTTACCATTTGGAAATTTAAGTTGTTTCTCATATAGGAATACTAAAAATCAAAAAATATGTAATTGATCACATGGAAAATGGAGCTCAAAGGGTGTGGTTAGGCCACTTAGGCCAATTCTACTTGGGAGGAGACCCTGTTAGTGACAGTGGACCTGTGGCACTAGCCTGTTTCAAGGGTGGACATAGTATCACCTGGTCAGCAATTGTTTAGATCCACTGTACCCTCTAAAGTTGAAGCACATAGCCTTTATCTCTATATTCTGTGAAAATGGGAACAGCTGATTATGCTTTTGATGTTTTGTTTTTTTGTATGGGGAATGGAACTCAGGACCTTGTGCTCCGGAACCACTGAGTTAAATCCCCAGCCCTGCTTTTGATGTTTAAAGAGAGTGATTAAGCTGCTTTTCAACTGGGTGTGGTGGCTCACGCCTATAACCTCAGCACTTGGGAGGCTGAGGCAAGAGGATTGCCAAATTCACAGCCAGCCTGGGCAATTTATTGACTTAATGAGACCCTGTCTGAAAAAAAATTTAAAAAGAGTGGTTGGGGGTGTAGCTCAGGGCTAAGGCCCTGAAGTTTAATCCTCAGTGCTGTAAAACCAAACCAACCCAAACCAAAATTCAATCTGCTGCGCATCATGCCAGGAAACCCTGCTGTTTCCAGAGCCCTTTTCAGTTACAGCTCAGGGCATGCTGTATACAACTCCTATTTCCCCAGCGGGGAGGGGGGTTGGGGTGGGGTTGTTTCTGCTCCATAGACCAATTTGCTTGGAATTTCCCCTACTTCCCTTGTGCATAGATAGGACTGGATATTTGGAGGATCTTAGGATGAGGACATTGGGTCCCTGCTTTCTAAGAAGCTCTTTGATTTTGAAGGAAGCTTCACATTTCTTTCCTAGACTGGGTCTGTGGAGAGCTTCAGATATCATTTTAAAATGGGAAAAGAGCCGGGGGTTGGGGGTTGAGCGCAGGGTGGGAGGTGCTGGCAGCAGGGAGAGGATGGAAGGGCTGGGGTGCAGCTTGGGCCACAGTGCTTGCCTAGCATGCAAGAGGCCCTGAGTTCAACCCCATTAATCCACACACACACTCAGGAGGTAGGGGAGTTAGATTAGGTAGAGGTTAAGCCTAGAAACTGCACTTTTAGGACGGCGAAGCAGGTGGCTTGGCTTGTCAGTGGCATTGGTTGGGGAGCAGAAATCGCAGCTGATGATGCAAGTGGTGTTCAGCTTTTGATCAGAATGAGAAGATTCTGCTATTGAGGAAAAGGAGAGCTGAGATACAAAGAGTTCATAGAAAAAGACTGGGGTGGGTGGCTGGCTCACCTGCTCTGAGAGGCCTGGCTGGGAGGAGCCATTCCTGGGCTTGGCCAAGGGGAGTCCATTCCCCAACCCAGCTAATTGCTGTTCCTGACTGCAGCATTTCCTTCTCACTTGCAAAGTGCCTAGATTTGTGGCAGCCTGTGTGGAGTCAGAGCAGGGGGACTAGGGAGGACACCTGGGTGGGTGAGGTGGCTCTATCCTTTGTCCCTAATTCCCCTTCCAATCAAACTAGAGTCAGGAGTGTCTTCCTGTTGCCAGTAATCCTTTAATTGGTGTCCACTTACCTAACCACAGATGTGGCTGCATCTCCAGTCCCTGGACAGGAGCATGCCAGGGTGGCTCACCCATCCCCGGCTGAGACTCTGCCTGCTTGGAAGGAGCCTCAGCTATCTGAGCCAGAGCTGGGCAGCTCTTGGAGGGAGGCCAGACAAGCATCAATAACACTGCAGGTGGGTGGCACAAGGCATAGCTTCCCATGGGCAGGCAGCACCAGCAGACTGGCGCACATCTGGGCCAGTGTTGGCAGGGTGGGTGTCCAGCAGAGACTGGGGCTTTGTTTAGCCCAGAACTAAGACTTTTCTTTAGAAGGAGTGAAAGCCAGGTGTTGTGGCACACACCTGTAATCCCAGCATGAAGAAGGCCCAAGGAGGAGGATAACCATGAGTTCAAGGCCAGCCTAGGCTACTGTAGTGAGTTCAAGACCAGCCTGAACCGCCTAGTAAGACTCGGTTTCAGAAAAACAACACAGACACACACACACACACACACACAGAGGAAGGAGTGGAATTGAGAAAGAAAATGCAGTGGACCCTTGAGTTATGACCAGCCTGACATACGAACAACTTGGGTTATGACCAGACTTTTAGTTTTAACTTACGACCAAAGTCTTGAGTTATGACCTAAATGCCTCCTGCTTGTGCTTCCAGATGGTCTCAGATATAGGTTTAACCCTTAAAGAGTTCTGGAAGGAACATAACAGCATCCTTTCCTGTGTGGGGTTAATTGAGAGGTCCTGGGCCAGTGTCTCTCTAAGGACACTGAGATCTGCCTTTGTACAGGAGAGAGACTTTGAAGGCTGTGTAGAAGAGCCTGATCCTTCATTGACCAACTTGAGTTACAACCAACCCTGGGGAATGAATTGAGTTCGTAAGTCAAGGGTCCACTGGAAACTGGGCACGGTGGCACATGCTTGTAATCTCAGTACTCAGGCTGAGGCAGGAAAATCACAAGTTCAAGGCCAGCTTGGGCATTCTAGAGACTCAGTGAGTGTCTCAGAAAGAGCTGGTGACATAGCTCAGTGTGAAGCCCCTGGGCAGGAAAGGAAGCTGGAGGGTTACCTGGTACTTGGACAGAGTTTGTGTGTAGTATTGACTCTCACTGAGCTGCCACCGGGCTGCAGAGGTCTGAGGCCTACGGTGCGAGCCGATGCTGCTGCATAAGGAAATCCTCACTGACCTCCGACCACAGCCCTGGCCCCAACTTGTAGAAAAAGCCACCTCAGCCAGAGTCTCCTTGGGTGCCAAAAAGACCTGGGGAGTCTGCTGGCCAGACCGAAGGTTACCAGAGCTGTGCTTCCTTCTGCCCTGAAAAGCACCCTTGGGTGGCATGGTCGTTTCTGCTCAGTGGCCGCAGGCAGACATGGGTAAAGGAAGAGCCCTGCTCGGAGGGAGCGCTCGGTGTCTTGCTCTCATGAGTTGCTAAGGGAACTTGGTCTCTCGAGGTCAGTGTTTCCACACCTCTGCAAGGCTATTGGACCAAAAAAGAGCTGGGCTTCTGTGTCCTCAGAACAGAAAATTCACCTGAGAATGAATGGGGCTGCCAGGGAGGAACACATTCCCTGGAGATGTCATGCTGCTGGGTCCCTGTGGCAGGCACATCTGGGCCAGTGACAACAGGCTGGGCATCTTAACAGGACTGCCTCACAAAGGCCAAGCTCCTTCCTCCCTGCTCAGATTGGCCCTTGTCCTGTTTCCTCCCCTACAGGCCCCTGGGGCTTTGTGTTCTTGCCCTGACTTCCCCTTGCCCAGGCACGGGATCACATCTGGCATCTGCCTGCATCAGCCCAGTCCTGGGTTGCTTCGCTGATTTGCACTTGATGACCCATTGATGCAATTCCCTTGGCAGCAAAGGGAAGGGACATATCTCAGGGAAAAGCAAACCTTCCACAATTTCCTAGGCTCTGAGGAGGAAGGTCAGGCAAGGGCATAGAAGGCTGTTAGAGCAAGTTTGGGAAACCTGCAGGGTTCACTCGCCATCCTTCAAAGCTGACACTTGCCCTGTGGCCCTGCTCGTCCCTGGGTTCTGAAGGTACTGTTGAACCCTAGGAGTGAGGAAGCTTAAGGAGAGGCTGAAATCTGGCTTGGAAAAGTTGCCATAGGAAAAGAGAAGGCCAGCTGGGGAGATTGTGAAAGGATGGATACACCCTCAAAGGCTAAGCTCAGCCTGGACACCAGGAGTGCTGGCCTCTGTGGAGAGGAAGTGGCCCACAGCCAAGTTCCAGGGAAGGACCAGCAGGGTCAGCTAAGCAGAAGGTCAAGGGCAGGTGACTTGAGATCCTGGAAGCAAGTATGAGGTGTGATTTAAAAAATACAGTGAAAATTTAAATTTTTAAAGTGTATTATGGTAAAAGACACTCCCTCTCTCTCTCTCTCTCTCTCTCTCTCTCTCTCTCTCTCTCTCTCAGCTTTTTGAGTCAGGGTTTTGCTATGTAGTTCAGGTACTCACGATAGTCTTCCTGCCTCAGCCTCTGGAGTGCCAATACTACAGCTACATGCCACCATGCCTGGCTGACTTCCTTTTCTTTCTTTTTTTTTTTGGTACTGGGGATTGAACTCAGGTCCTTATGCTTTGCGGGGCAGACAGTGGCACCACAGCTAAATCCCCAGCCCCTGACTTCCTTTTCTAAGCACCACCACAAAGTCTCAACCCAAGATGGAAGGTGGATTCCTTATGTTGTAGACAAAGTGCATCACTCTTCCAGTTGCTCACAGCCAATCAGGAGGAGCTCTTTCCTCTCCTAGGTCTTGGCCTTTACTTTTCTGTATATCAGCCTCAAGGGCAATGGTCTATCCTCATAAGGGTTTTTATGAAAATCCCTATCTTGGCTGTGGTTCTACTGCAGATAGCGGACTGGAAAGGAAAGTCCTTTATACATAGTTCTGCAATTGTGCCTTCACCCGATGGTGGACCCCACTTCTGTGCCTATGTCCCCTTAGACCTTAAGCTTCTCGAGGGCAGAGGTTGTGCAAGCCCTAGCTAACGTGGGTGCTCACGTGTTTATACAAACAAGCCAGAACTCCAGGTGGGTTTTCACATATTTGAAGGGTGGCCTGGAGATGACAAGGAGATTTCGCATGTGTACCTCCAGAGACCCCAGGAGAAGGACAGAGGGGGGCATGTCACCAGGAAAGGCTTTGGGCTCACAGGGAGAAGGCATTTAAGCATCCATCATTCAGGACTCCTAGGTCCTACTGAAGGAAGCCTGCTTTGAAGTAGCTTGAGTGAAGGAAGCACTTTTTAAAAAATTCCTTTATTGGTACGTTTTAGTTATACAATATGTTTACATTTATCTTTGGGTGCTTGTACCTGTACATGATGTATCTTGGTTCTTATTTTTTCCCCATTACCTGTGCGCCCTTCACCCCCTCCATCTTTCCCTATTTACATAGATTTCGTTTCCATTTTTTTTCTTTTCTCATAATTTTTGAAGGAAGCACTTTAAAACATTTTTTATTTGTTTCTGTTTGTTTGTTTGTTTTGTTTGTTTTTTGAGTCAGGGTCTCACCAGGTAATTCAGGCTGGCCTTGAACTCACATTGTAGCCTGAGCTGGCCTACAATGCTTGGTGATCCTCCTGCCTCAGGCCACACACACACACACACACCCCGCCAGTGCTGGGATCACAGGTATTTGGGAGAACTTCTTGGCGCACAGATTCTGATGCAAGCTGGAACTGCCACATGCAGCGAGCCCAGGGACAAAGGGATACTGGCGACGAGGCCACATTGTGGTGGGGGCAGGTCTTCCCTCCTCATGGCAGGAAACTCGGCCACAGAGGGGCTGCTTTCCTTCCATGTTCCACTTCCCAGTGTTCTGTTGATAACTTCCCTTGGTGCCGCTTGGGTCTGCGGTCAGGGAGGTGGGGGATCAGACACCAGCTGGCTGTGGCCACAGTAGGATGGGGTAGGAACAAGGCAGGTGCTGTTAGGACCATACAGAGGCGGACATTTCCTGAAGGACCGGATGTGGTCCACTTGGAGGACGGCGGGGTTTGTGCTCCTTTGCTTTTCTCTCCATCCCCTCAAACCCCCCCAAATACTGGCCTTCAGTTCTGGCACACCTATCCCACTTGTCTCTTACTGGAATAAGGTGTTTTGTTTTGTTTTCCCCCGGTACCAGGGACAGAACTCAGGACCTTGTACTTTCCAGGCAGGCATGGCGCCACTGAGCTAAATCCCCAGCCCATAGGTTAAAAAAAAAAAAATTCACTGTCTCTTTGGATCACCCCTTGTATGTCCCGGGGGCTGTTCCCACTTCCAGCGCGGCTTGGACACAGTTGTAGTCTTAGTGGTGGCCGAGGGTGGCAGGGTGGGGAGAGAGGGAGGGACAGCAGCAGGTGACGCTGGGCTATAAATAGGGACAGTCAGCCAGGCCTGGGAGGCAGCCAGGCGAGGCGGGCAGGCGACACCATGGGGTCTCGCAGGGTCCCTGAGTGGGGTGTAGGCAGACGGGTGGGGGGCGACAGTGAGGATGATGGGCCTGTGTGGACCCCCAGCCCTGCCAGCCGCAGCTACCTGCTCAGCCTTCGGCCCGAGACCAGGTGAGTGGCACTGTGCAGGGACTGGGGTGGCAACAGGCGGGCAGGATGGAGCCCCTTTCGGGGCTCCTTCCGGTGCTCTGCCCGGAGTCCTGAGGCCTGGGATCTGGACTGGGCCCCAAATAGTCCCTCTGGGCCCCCCTTGGCCCCTCAAGGCTCCAGGCCTCAGGTCTGAGGCACCCTGATGCCCCAGGAGGAGCTGGGCCCTATTTGGGGCGATATCACAGGGGCTGCAGGCTTCCATTATCTCTTGCACTGTGTCCACCCCTCCCCCCCATCCCCATCCTTCTGGATGCTGGATTCCACAGGGGGCGATAAGCGTGGCTGGGGTGGCTGGAATTCCTGGGGCTGGAGGGAAGGGACGGGAAGGGGACCAGGGGACTGCCCAACTCAGGGCTACCTAGCTCAGGGTGGGGGCAGTCAGGAGAAGTAAACCTGTGTCGGAAATAAGGATCCTCCTGGCCAAGGACTTGGATATGGTGAGAGGAATGGGATGAGGGGCAGCCAGGGACAGAGTCTTGAAGCTCATTGAGCCATGTTGCCTGGTTTTGGGGCTGGGATGAGGTATGGAAGGAGGAGAGGAACTGATGGGCCCTTCACTGGTCTTCCAAGAGTGACAGAGGGGTGGAGGCTGCCCATGACAGAAGGCCACACATAATAGACAGCCACAGGTGCTCACAGACACCCAGACACAAGCCACACACTTTGCCACAGAGACAGAAGCTCCTGCCTGCTCCGTCCAGCTCAATCCCCTCCCCTGTGCAGCCCATTTTCCAAAGGGAAATGTGACATTTGTCCACTGGGACTGGCAGTGTGTCTCAGGCCCAGCCTCTGGCTTGCTGGGTATCATTTGGAAAAGGAGCGTTCCTCCCAGCCTGTCGAGAGACCTCTTGCTCTCCATTCATAAAGGAGCACAAAAACAGGCAGCAAGGACGTTCAAGAAAAGTCCTGGGCACTTCCCTGTGGACTGGCTGAGTCCTGTTGACCTTGGAGTTGGAAAAGTTCAAATGTAACCGGAACCTGTTTCTGCATAAAACTTGTCCAATGATGTCACATGTCTGGGTCAGGGCCGAGGGCTGGTGTTAGTGACTGAGTCAGACTGCACCCGGCCCCCAGTGCCAGGGAAGAATGCCCCTTCCTCCCAAGTATGGAGACATCAGCCTCAGACGTGGACATTATTCCCGTCCAAAGGGAAGCTTGCACCCTGTGGGTGCCTCCCGCTTGTGACAGTGCTTATCTGAGCTTGACCGCCTGTGTCTGGCCTTTGTCAATACCAGGAGGATGGGGGAAGAAAAGGACAGCAGCAGTGGAGGGGAGGGAGGAAGGGTGGGTTGAAACCCAGCAGAATGGGAGAGCAGGGATCTGGGCTGTCAGCAGCAAGCTGGGAGGGGATGCTGTCTGGCCGGGTTGCATGATGTCTCCGTGGCACACTAGGTAAGCTCAAAGCAGTATGCCTGCCAGAGGGCAGGAGATGGGAGAGGCGCAACTGGACTGAGTCCCCTTGTACCTGCCCGGGATGCTCTGAAAAGGCATCTTTCCTCCAGGTATTTAGGGGGAGGGGCACGACAGGACTGTGTTTTGCCCGTGCAGTTTTTCACATCCTACCAGCTGGCCACAGACCTCCCCACACCTACTGAGGGACAAAGCGCCAGGTTTTGGCCCCTGGAGGAGCCTTTGGCCACAGAGGGAGATTATGAAGGGGGCTGCTTCAGGGTGGTGAGGCTCAGTTTCCAGGGCACCATGAGGCCTGACTTGTGCTGGAGGAGCCAACTGCAGTTTGTGGTCCCTTAGAACAGCATGGCTGGCTGTGGAGATGGGGAGGGGCCAAGATAAGGGAGAAAGAGCTGAACCCTGGCCACCCCCGAGTCCTGAGTGGGAAGCAAGTTCTGTCCCCACTCACTTTGGGCTCCAGTGTTTTCTGGGTCTACGTATTATTATTATTATCATTATTATTTTTGTACTGGGGATTAAACCTAGGACCTTCATATTGAGCTACATCCCCAGCCTCTTTCTATTTTCTATTTTGAGACAGGGTCTCAATACGTCATTAAATTGCCCAAGCTGGGCTTGAACTTACAATTCTCCTGCCTCAGCCTATCAGAGTGCTAGGATCATAGGCTTGTGCCACCATGCTCCACTTGCCACGGAGTTCTTGAGTCATCATTTGAATGGGCCTTTGTGCCGATAGGCTGACCCTGGGAGCTGATGGGTGGCTGTGCAGGCAGCTGGGGCTCTAGGAGACTTGGTTCTGGGTCCAGACTCTTATTTTCCCATGCACTCCTCACCTCGCCGGCCCGTGCTGGCCTTTGGAGGGGTCTCCATTCCTGCGTCAGCACAAGGGTATCCCAGTGCTCACTGAGGTATGAGGCATGCAGATGGCCCCCTCCAGCCTTACAGCCTCACCCCTACAGGAAGTGGGGTGCAGGGAGGCTGGAGGAGGGTAAGGAGCCTCAGCTGATGGGAAGCCATTATGACGACCTGACTTTTGTGGGATACCCTCATATCATGGTGGCCCTGGTCCAGGGGGTCCAGGAGCAGGAGAACTGTAATGTTGCTACAGACTTGGGTTTTTTTTGGTAACGAGGCTCGAACTTGGGACCTTGCGCTTGCGAGGCAGGCGCCAGAACCACTGAGCTAAATCCCTGGCCCTACAGACTGCTTTGAAACAACCTCTGTTCTTCTGCTTAGGTCAGGCAAGTTGCCTGGGGCTTTTAGGGAAACTGAGGCATCAGACTAGGACTTTTTTTCTTTTTCTTTTCTTTTTTCTTTTTTTATGGAGACAAGGTCTCACTATGTAGTCCAGGCTAGCCATGAACTTGTGGCGATCCTCCTGCCTCAGCCTCTGAGTGGAGGGATTATAGGTATGCATTACCATAGCTGGCTCTTTTTTCTTTTATTTTAAACAGGAAAGGGGTGTTTTTTGTTGTTGTTTTTTGTTTTTTGGGGGGGGTACCAGGGATGGAACTCAGGATCTTGCACTTGCAAGGCAGGATCTGGAACCACTGAGCTAGATCCCTAGCCTTAAACAGGAAAGAGTTTTAGTTGGGAAGTAAAGAAAGTGGCTTGAGATGACAGAAATTAGGCTAGCTTTTAACAAAGAAGAGTAAGAAAACTAGGAAAGGACTCTGGCTTGAGCAGCTGGAGGGGGTACTCTGAGGAGGTGTCAGACTGACCCACGAACAAGGAGAATGGGTAGCTGGTGGGCTGGGGTCTGGGTGATCATTATCTCAGTGCTAGGCCAGGACTTCCTCAGCGTCTTTGATGACCCAGATGTTTGTTCCTTTTGAGGAGAACTTTCGTTCCTTCTGTGGAATGAAGGTGACATGAAAAACTCTTTTCCCTCCCAGGCTATGCTGGTTGGACCTCACTAGCCACACTGAAATCATATGCAGCTTTATTTTATCTTATTTTCTCCAGTGCTGGGGAAGGAACCCAGGGCCTTGCATATGCTAGGCAAGTGCTCACCACTGAGTGGCTTCCCTTACCCCAGGAAGAACTTAGAAATTCCAGCAGTTGGGAGCCTGAGGCAGGAGGATCACCACCAGTTCCAGGCCAGCCTGGGCTACATAGTGAGTTCAAAGCTGGTCTGAACTACTGGTGAGATCCTGTCTCTAAATAAATAAATAAATAAATAAATAAATAAATAAATAAATAAATAACGTAGAGGCTTTTTGCCCCAACATCTGATGCCTGACCCTGACCCCCAAGAGGCCATTAAATGGGGAGTCAGCAGAGTGCTGGGTGGTCTTCCGCCCTCTGAAGAACTGAAGAACAGCAACTCCATGGGCTGGAGGGTGAGGCCCAGATGGTAGCAATGGGGCTTGGATGATACCTGGGGGCCCCACTAGCCTGCGGGCCACTCACCCTCAGGCAAATCAACCTTCACTTTCCTCTCTCATTAGAAAGCTGACTTCCCCCACCTTCTCAGGGACAAAACCCAAACTCAGAGGAGAAATCTCTCCATTTTAAGGAAGTTCATGATCAGGAAAGGACTGAGTCAGCCTGTGCTTTGGGACCAAGGGAGGCTCTGCCCACACAACCCCTAAGGTTTGTAAAGCTCCTAGCAGAGGCAGCTGTGCCCCTTGAGCACTCCTTTTCCATCCTCTCTGGCGTAGCAGCTCCCTCTGGGGAGCAGGGCCCCTCCTGTGTGACAAATGTGTCTTTACTTCCTTCCCTCTCCTCTCCCCCAACTTCCCTTCTTTTCAGAGAACAGCTGCCGGGCAAATGCCTAGCACTTTGCTAGGAGTCAGATTCAAAGGCTGGGTGGGCAGAAAGGAGGGAGCACTTTCTAAGCAGGGAGGACAAAAGCGGAGGCTCTGGATATGCTCATGGCAGTTAGGAGCAAGTCTGGCTGCAGTGGAACCCTAGTGTTGGAAGGGAAGAGAACCACAGTTGTAGGGGGTCTATGAGCAGACCAGGGAGGGCCTTGAGGGCCGAGTCAAGGCCTTGAGTCCTACTGTAATAGCCAATGGGAGACCTCAGCATCCTGTTCAGAGAAATGGTGTGATAAGAAGGTGAAGGAGAAGGGACACGGTCATTAAATGTGGAGCCACAAGGCTCTGATTCAGAGGACAGCAGTAGGAATAAAGAGAAAGGGAAAAAAGACCAGAAAGTGCTGACCACTGGATTTGGAGGGTGGAGAAGCCCAAGATGGCCGGTTTGGAGCTGGTCTCATCGAGCTGGGCGCTTCTGGCTCCTGCTGGATTAACTGCTCTGTCTTCCTCCCTCTTCCCCTCTCCTAGCTGGTTTGCCTTGCTCATTAACTGTACTTTAACCCACTAATGGTGGGTGTTCTCCAGGCACTTGTTCGGGGATTTCCAGGAATGGGGCTTCCTGTCTCCCAAAAGGCAGCGAGTTGGAGCTGGAGCTGCCCCAGGCTGGTGCACTGTGGGTTGGGGACCTGGTACAAGGCCTCCTAGAGGGGGCAGATCCACATGCCCGAGGCACACCTTTCTCAAAGCACAGCCCCGGCCCTTCCTGCCTAACCCTTTTCCTGGACTCGCTGCTTTTAACTAGCTTTTGGTTTCAGATGTATTGGTGTCGATGGTGAGGCCACTTGCTATCCAGAGCAGGCCAGCTAAGACAGCTGGTCCCTTTTAATAGAAAGGCTTCTGGGCCCCAGAAGGTGACAGATTAATACTTCTCAACTGCTGTTCATTTTGCTTCCTGTTCTCCTTGCTTTTCAGCCTAATGATTCAATTTGCTGTTTCTTGCTTAGCTTATCAAGCAGCCGGTTGTCTCACCCCAGCTCTGGAAGGTAAATGCACCCTGCATTGCATTCCGTTTCTCTGACTGCTGTTCTCTTGGTCCTGGGCCCTGAGGGGCAGCTGGGTGATGGCTCTTGCACTAACTGGCTGCATGGAGCGAGGGGAAGCCTGGGGTTACTTACGTGAGCATGAGTCTGCAGGGACCAGGGTGACTCTTGCATGGCCCACTGGGAAAGAGCACAGAGACTCAGGAAGAGAAATGTGGGCAGGGGTTCCTGAGATGCCTGCAATGACATTTACGTGCCCTTGGGAACAAAACAGGGAGCCACCAGCCATGTGACCCGTCTCTTCCTGTTTTAAGTGTTCATGTTTTTGTGACCACTTACCTAGTTTTGATACCTTAGCTATCTTCTAATCATGGCCCCTGCCTTTTACATTTTTTTTCCTGTAGTCCCTTATATTCTCCTTTTCTCTCCTCTTTCTTCGAGTTTTCCTTTCCTTTCACACCTCTCCCTGCCTGTAGACTGTGGAGTCTATGAGATCAGACAATACCATATGCCTGGCCTCTGCCTTAGTGTATCCTCTGGATCCGCTGAGCAACCCATGGTTAAAGTTTGCTGGTTGAAAGACTCCTCTTGCCTCCCAAGCTAGGACAAGGCTCTATCCCTGGATGAACCAATTGTTACCTTCAAAGTGGGAACATTGCCTGGCTACTTCTCACCACTTGGGCCCCATCCCAGACCCCGGTAGATTTGGGGAGAGTTGGCTACAGTCTCGTCATGCAGAGGAAGCTTTCTGAAGCTAACTGGCTTCTGATAGCTCATCACATCCACAGGCATGATCAGCCCCCTCCATCCGTTTCCTTGAAGGGGATAAACACGGAGGAAACTTGGTTCTGGGTGGCCTCCGAGTGGAGAGAATTCACCCCTACTAGTTCGAAGTGGAGACCATTTCCAGATGTGTGTGGATCTCCTGGCTTTCTCGGGGACCCAACAGAGCACATCCATATCTGGTGGTGTAGAGGAAGTGACAGAAGGCTGAGAGATGAGAAGTGTGATTCAGTGGCACATGACAGTATGTGCACTGAAGCTCCCTGACCCCCTAAATGCCTCCCAAGCTGCTTCCTTAGAGAGAGGGATTTCTTCCCAACCTCATCTTACCTGTGGTTTCCTGCTGTAAACATTTTTTACCATATAGTTTAGGACCGCATACAGAGAGGTCTTCAGTTTTAGAGTTTCTCCACTCAAAAGGAGAGATGAAATAAAGTAACTAGGGCTGGGGAAGTAGCTCAGTGGCACTGTGCCTGCCTGGCAAGTGCAAGGTCCTGAGTTCAAGCCCCGGTTCTGAAAAAAAAAGGTAACTACCAGTTGTTGTATATCTAACAGGGGCACTCATCTCTGCAATTTTTTGAAGTAATTTCTTTGTTTTCTGACTTATCTAGTAGCTGAAATTCTTTTCTTTTCTTTATTTTTTAATGTGTTACTGGGGATTAAACCCAGTCCTCAGACATGCTCGGCAAATGCTTAACCACTGAGCTATACCTCCAGTCCTTTTTTAAAATTTTGGGACAGGATTTTGCTAAGTTGCCCAGGCTGGCCTCAAATTTGTGATTCTTCAGTCTTAGCCTCCCAAGTAGCTGGGATTACAGACACGTGCCATTGTGCCTTGCTGCTGAAATGATTTTTTCTTCCTTTCTTTTTATTTTATTTATGTATTTGGGGTTTTTTGAGACAGGGACTCACTGTGTAGTTCAGGGTGACCTTGAACTCACTATGTAGCCCAGGCTGGCCTCAAATTTGTGGTGATCCTCCTGCCTCAGCATCCTGACTGCTAGAATTACAGGTGTGCATCACCATAGCCAGTTGCTTGCCTCTTTTCTTTCTCTTCTTCCTCTTCCTCTTCTTCCTCTCTCTCTCTCTCTTAATGGTACCACTCTTATCACTGAGGCACATCTCTAGCCCCCCTTTTTGACTCAGGGTCCCCCTAAGTTACCAGGTGAGACTTGGACTTGTGATCCTCTTGCCTCAGCCTCCCAAGTGCTGAGATTACAAGGCACAAGTAACCCATCTTGAAATGATTTTCTTAGTCTTGCTCAAGAAGCTTTCTACCTAAGACCCTAAACTTAATCTTATTGGATACAGGTTCACATCTATGGATGAAGTAGAATTCAAATTATGTAGAGAGAACTTAATTGGGAGTATTATAAATTAGTTACAGAATCATAGGAGCTGGATTACATTTGGCCTGGCAGTTTCTAGAAAGTGTTGGTTGAGATTTGCCATGCCCCTCAGTCAGAAATCCTGTCAGTAGACAGCAGTAAGGAGTACACCCAGATGTTCTACTTCCTGGGGGCTCAGGGAGTGGATGGCCCAGGCCCCAAGGGATGCTGCACCCTGCAAGGCTCAGAGGGAAGGAGGAGATGTTTACAGGGCAGGTGAGTTGTGGGTGGGAGGCACAGAGCCTCACTACAGACCCAGCTCAGGTTCCGGTGTGTGAGAGCCAGGGGCCCCCATTCTGGGTGGACTTTGTGGGGTGCTCCTGCCAATTCCCTGAATGCCCAGACACTCAGATCCCAGTGGAGAAGCTGTGGCTCCAGGCTCAACTCCCATCTGCCCAGAGCCGTACTTGATTCCAGCTGCTCTTCCTGGGGAATCAACCTCTCTTCTCCAACCCCAGTCCAGAGTAATATTCCCAGACAGACACCCCAAACTCGGAGTGTGTGGGGCTGTCCCTGCTGTTGCTCATGTTCCCATAAACTGTCCATTTGTGGTGGAGTCACAAACAGGTAAACATTGCCTTCTGGGGACCACTCCTTCCTCTGAAGCTGAGAAGGCACCTTGGGGTGACTTATCATTTCCACCGTTCCTCCTGCTCAGTTCACCCCCACCCACAGTCTCCCCACTGCTCACAAAGGGGAAGGGGGCTGGGCACGGTTTGTGCACCCTGCAACCTGGCTCTGTGGTTTTGCTTCACGCCTGAGTGCACTGTGATTCTGCTGGCCTGGGACAGGGTTGGCAGTGTGGTTGCTTCCTGTGCCCGGGAGGAGCAGACCTTGAGCCCTGAGCATTGTTGGTGAGTCTTTGCTGGGCTCAGGAAGCCTTCCAGAAGTCGAGGAACTGTCATAACCCAGAGTCCTGGCTTTTGCAGGAGTGGGTCTATGGCTTGGCGTGCCTGCCAGTTGGTCCTGGAGCTCCCAGCTCAGTTTTCCCTTCAGCACGTGGCAGTTAGGATGGGTCAGGAGCCATAGCTGGTGCTGGTTTGTAGCCCTGCTTGGGATCAGAATTCATTTCAGTCTTTCCTTTTTTCGGACTGATGATTCAATCCAGGGCCTCCCTCATGCTAGTCAAGTACACTACCATTGAGCTAAATCCCCAGCTCTTCTTAAAATTTGACTTTGAGACAGAGTCTCACCAAGTGGCCCAGGCTGGCCTGGAACTCATGATCCTCCTTCCTCAGCCTCCTAAGTAGCTGGGATTACAGATGTTTACCATTACTCCTGGCTTAAGTCTCTTCTGATTCCCCTTTGAGTGAGAGATCCCTTTTGGATCTAAACCCCCAGGGTCCACTGGCATTCAAAGCAATGCAGGAGCTTTTCTTCCAAGCCCAAGCTTGGGTCCTTGGAAGTTGTCTGGCTTTTCCCTCTTTGGCATGGAAGCTCTGCCCATCCCTGTCCATCTCCTATGCACAGCTTTCCTGGAGTTGGAGGTGGAGGGTGAAGCCAGGACCTGAGAGGATGGGATAGTGGCTTGAGTGGGCTGTCCAGCATGCTCAGGAGCCTGTTCTGGGTCAGTGGCCTATTGTAATGGATCTGGATCAAGATTCCATTCCTAGCCTAGCCAGCAGCCTGGGCTCCTCTGAAGGAAGATTTGCCCAGGGGCCTGAGCTGCGGGCCCCAGGTGATGGGCAGATATGGTAAGACCTGTGCTGCACTGGGCAAGGCCAAGGTGGTGGCATAGTTGGCAGGTGAGGGCCTCTCTGAGCAGCTCTTTGCCTTCCCTAGGAGCACCTTCTGCTCCATCATTGCACAGCTCACAGAAGAGACGCAGCCGCTGTTCGAGACCACGCTCAAGTCCCGGGCTGTGTCTGAGGACAGCGATGTCAGGTTCACCTGCATTGTCACAGGTACGCTTTGTGCCAGGGCTCTGCACAGAGCAGGTGGGAGGGGGCTGGGGTGCAGCATGGTGGGTGGTGGGCCATGTGCAAACCTGTGTAAGGTGACGTTGGCTTTCTCAGCTTTCTCTCCAGCTTAGTCTCCCTGGCAGGCAGTTGTCTCTTCTCTTCTTCTGGAGTCACAGACATACCCAGACATGTCCACAGTAATGGCTCCTCGCCTTCAGGGACCACATGACTGGTGACTTGGTCTCAGAAGCCACCTCCTCCAATGTTTTACAATCGAGTCACTTGTGGCTTGGGAGTGTCTGGTCTGGGAGGCAGTGACTCGTGGTGACACTGGTGCAGACCCTGGAGGCAAAGTTCCTGGCTTGGAGCCCTGGCTCATTTCCTTCCAGTGTGTGACACTGAGAGGTTTGGAACCTCACAGCCACCTGGTCTGTAAAGTGGAGCTAATAGTAGTGTGAGCTTCGGAGAGGTAGAGATTGGGTTAACACCCCCAAAGCATTCACAGCAGCACCACAGTAAGCACACACAGTGTTGGGAGTTTAGAGTGGGTACTGGTATTTTGCTGAGCTCTGTGGTGGTGTCTGAAGCAATAGTTGGGGAGAACTGGAAGTGCTGTACCTTGGAATGGGAGGGGGTGCACTGGGCTTCTGGCATCTGGCTCTGGACCTTGTTCTCTCCCACACCCCCAGCACAGCCACCCATTGTGCCACCTGCCCTGCCCAAGGCCTGAAGGACACCTGCCTTGCCTCCATAGATGCCCACACCTCCTGCTGAGTGGGCAGCTCTGAGGTCCAGGGTCCCAGCTTCCTCTGAGAGCCTATGATTTGGGTTAGTCAAGTTTCCAGCTGTGACATCCCTCATTCTGGGGGCCTTGTGACCTCAGCCAGCAGAACAGCTTTTCTGGGCTAGGGTCCCCATGGGCAGTCCTACTCCCCTAGGACCCCTGAGCACCAGGTCGAGGACACAGCCCGAGGGACAGCATTGCCTGCACCCTTTACCTTTGCACAGTGATGTGTGGCACAATGTTTGTTTCCATTGTGGTTGAATTCTTACAAAACCCTGTGAAGTAAGTGCTATTATTAGTCAAGTTTACAGAGGAGGAAACTGGAAGCTGCAAGGTGACTGGGGAGGAGGAGATGCTGCCTTTTGCTGTTCATTGCACTAACAGTTTTCTCACCATTCTGTGCTTTTTCAAGTGCTGTTTTTTTTTATTTGGAACATCCTCCCCTCCTTGATAAAGAAAGTTAGACTTCAGTTTATCAAAACATACACATCATTTGAGGCTTCAAATTACACTCAACTTCTAGCCAGGCATGGTGGCACATGCCTATAATCTCAGCACTCGGGAGGCTGAGGCAGGAGGATTCCCATGAGTTCAAGGCCAGCCTGGGCTATATAGTTCAAGGCGAGCTTCTACTAGATATCAGGACTCAGTCTCAAAAAACAAAACAGAGGGCCAGGGATTTAACTCAGTGGTTCTGCCACCTGCCTCACAAGTGCAACGTCCTGAGTTCAATCCCTGG